ATACCTGCACGATACTCAGCGTGCTACTGGTGACGGGGTCGGAGAAATCACCACCGGGAGGGCTGACGGCACCAACGATACTGACACTGCCATTTCTCTCGGGGCTTCCGAGAGCGACACTCTTGCCAGCACGTTCATAGAAGGAGGCGAGCTTGGCACCTAGGTAGGCAGGGAAACCCTGGTCCGCAGGCATTTCTCCCAGACGACCTGAAAGTTCACGCAAAGCCTCGGCCCAGCGAGAGGAAGAGTCCGCCATCATAGCCACGTTCTTTCCCTGGTCACGGAAGTACTCGGCGATCGTGATACCGGTGTAGATGGAAGCTTCACGAGCGGCGACAGGCATGTTCGATGTGTTGGCGATCAGGCATGTACGCTTCATGATGGGCTCTTTGCGACCTTCGACGTCGATGGACAGCTAAATAAAGTTTCGTCAGCGTGCGATAATCTTAGCAGAGGCCTCAGTTCCCGTACCTCTGGGAAATCCATCAAGACTTCAGCCATCTCGTTACCCCGCTCACCGCAACCGACATAGACGATGATATCACTGTTGGAAAATTTGGACACACTCTGAGAAATGACAGTCTTTCCGCAACCGAAAGCTCCCGGGATGCAAACAGTACMGCCTTGTACACTAGGGAACAAAGAGTCCAGTACTCTCTGGCCGACGATGAAGGGCGCATCGGACGGCAGTTTCTCATTGACCGGTCTGGGCACACGAACAGGCCAAGAGTGCATCATACCATGTTCCGACTTCTGTCCGTTGAATTCAATCTCCAGGAGCTTCTCTTCAACAGTGTATTGGCCAGCAGGAGCTATCCGGGTAATGGTACCTCTAGCGCGGGGAGGGAGGAGGATCTTGTGGTCGTTGAACAAGCTGTTTTCAAATACGGTACCCCAAATGTCACCACCGGTGATGTGATCGCCGACCTTGAACTTGCCGGGTTTAAAGTCCCATTTCTTCTTGCGATCCAATGCATTCACTGCAATACCACGGGGAATGTAGATACCCTTCGAATGAGCAGCGATCTCTTTCAGGGGTCGCTGGATACCATCGTAGATTGTTTCCAACAAACCGGGACCAAGCTCGACCGAGAGAGGCTTGCCCGTCCGCATAACAGGGTCGCCAACCGTTAGACCAGCTAGAAAATGGAAGATTAAAATGTTAGACTCGTGGTTGCCAGTAACAGTTCGTCATAGTGTAGATGCGAAGCTGTACCTGTCTCCTCGTATACCTGAATGGTAGCCTTATCTCCATCGAGTCGAATGACCTCACCAACCAACTGATCATGTCCGACTCTGCACTAAAGTTGGAAAGACCATTTCAGTCAGCTAAACTAAGCTCGACCATACGTTGAAGTGAAGCGTCAATGATGACCTACCAGCTCATACATAGCACAGCCGATCATGTGCTCGGCCACCACGACGGGGCCAGATATGGAGAAGATAATCCCATGCTGGTCCTCACCAGTCTTGTCCTTACCAGAAGGAGCCATTATACGTGAAACTGGTGTGTGTATGGATGAAGAGGACGGGGATGAGGGAAGCTCGATGTTGCTGCTGCTGCTACTTGAGCTAGAGGTCGTTGAAGTGGGCGAAACGGGGAGCGGTGGCAGTTCGTCTGGCCCGGGCGGTGATGACGGCTTGGATTCGGACAGATCAACCACGCCGCGACTGGCAATCAGGTCCAGCAAGGAGGGGCGTGTTTTGAGTCGAGGTCTACCCAAACCCAGCATCAAATTCGTAAGAGGGATGGGTTTTTGATACGAGAAGGCACATATGCCGCAAATCACTCAAAGTACAAGGGAAATTGATGGGATCGTAAGTTTACTCAGCCATCCTACACAGCCGGCTTGGTCTTGTCTCTGTCCCAGTCTTGTATCGGCACTAAATCAAAACAAGTGCTGATTATCAAGGTCTCTGTTACCACTATCTAACATTTGGCCGTTTATTTCCAGATTTTGCTGGTGCACTTTGCGGTTAGAAGGAGCTGTGAGACTTTAATATAGTATTTAATACAATCTTTGACCTGCAGCTAACACCACTTTCAGACACTATAAGACCTAAAATCATCTGAAGGAACGTGGTCCAAGAGTGCAGCTTGTGACTGCTCATCTATCAGTAAGTAGAGGGTGAGGGGCAGAAGGTCGAACCTTCCAGCAATCAGTTTCTGCAGTAATGTCTCGAAAGAAGCATGATAGACTGGACTGCATCTTCAAGCCTTGAAAGATAAGGTGCTTGCGATTACCGACCACCGGAAGATCGAGCACCAACTGTGTTGTTAACAAAGTTGAGGCCTTCTTGCATGTAGCGCAAATACTTCAGCGCACTGAGTGTCAACCGCACTATGATGGTTTTTCTGACCTACCATGCTCCATAATTCCAGAATTGATGCATTTCATCGGCACATCTCTTAAGATCTAAATGTGGACAGTCGTGGTCAACCGTTCAGAACATTGTCTTCGTGGCAGCCATTTGTTAAAAATCAGGTGATCTCGTGGGTGCCTGGGGCAGAGACTCAGCTCTGGTTATGAGAACCACTGGAACCCGTCATCACCTTGCCTCCATAGCCCATCCCTGATCAGGGACTGATAGAGTATGATTGAAGGGCTAAATACTGATGCACACGCATAACAACACATGGTTGTGACAACTATGATCCAAAGATATAGGATCTGCCTAGACTCCCCCACACAGAATCATTTGACCTTACTGTGCTCTAGTCTGCCTTTTGAATCGTTTCTACCTTGCGTTCACATGTCAAATAGCAAAGCTGCCTAAGCCCGTTAGTGGCTTGCCTCGATCCATGGGTGGCAGCTTTGGTTTGACTTGTCGGAAAACATGGCCTTCCAGCTTCAAACTCATGCGAGCATGGTGCATACCAGCAGCACTGTATATACGGGAGGGATGTCTCAGGTTGTTGCCGGAATCGCTCAGAAGAACAACTTCTACAGAGCACTCTTCCATGACAACATAAGCACGCTACGTGATATATTCAGCATAGGATAAAAGCTTACTTGCTGTGCTACAAGACATGATTTCATCAAACCATGAAGCCCAGGGTGTGTGCGACTACTGGGGTTACAAGTTCGAATGGACCGATCTTCATCGACCCGCGGAGCAGCTACGTCCGTTGATGTTCACTTATGACAAGCTTGCGGATGACTGTCTTCAACGGCTAATTGAGATCTCACCTGTACCTCGTCGAGACACTGCTAAGAACGAAGAATCGACGTCCACGCCAGTAAAGAGAGATCTATACGTTTTGCTAGAAAAGCATCATGATGATGATCTCAAGATCAAAGAATTTTGGGATGAGATCAACACCGTTCMAGTCTGGGTTGACTGGGAACAGATTAACAGAGGACAAGAAGTATTCTACCGTTATGGAATGGCGGTGCTCAACGTGGTAAGCTTGGAACAATTTCTGTAGATTGCAAAGGATGGACTAACGTCAACATCATATATAGCTTACTTTTCAGAGTTTACTGGGCGGAATGTCCGACTCCTTATTGCAACACAACTAATGAAACTGAACTAACATTTGCGGCAGGGGTTCCGGACGCATCGTCGAAACCTTAGCAAGGACTGGAGGATTCTCCGCAGATGTCGCACGACGCAGGATGCTGGAGACCCTTCAACACGTTCTCCAGGTGGTCGGGTCTGTGGATGCCATGAGACCAGGAAGGGCTGGTCACGCCTCATCCGTTCGAGTGCGGTTGCTTCACGCCGCTGTCCGTTCACGAATATTGCACCTGGTCAAGAACAAGCCTGAATATTACGATGTTGACAGCTTCGGCATTCCTATTAATGACCTTGATTGCATAGCCACTATCAATAGCTTTTCGACAAGCGTAATCTGGATTGGATTGCCTCGGCAGGGTATCTTGCTGCGAGAGCGAGAGGTTGATGACTACCTCGCCCTGTGGCGGCTGGTGGCGTACTATATGGGCACACCGCATGAGTTCCTCGAGACTAGGGCTAAGGGAAAAGCCATGATGGAATCCCTCCTCGCGTCGCAAATAGATCCCACCGAAATGAGTAAGATTTTGGCGCAAAACATTATCTTGAGTCTTGAAAACACCGCTCCCACTTATGCATCCAAGGAATTTATGGAGGCCATGGTTCGGCAACTCAATGGCAAGCAGCTGTCTGACGAGCTCGATATTCCGCGGCCCAACCTCTATTACCAGGTGCTCGTATATGGGTACTGCGTTGTCGTGATGTGGTTTGCTTATACTTTCAGATTGTTTCCGCCTATTGATCATGCGATGATCAAGGTAAGAATGCGCGTCTTGCTTCTCGTCACTAACTGTCGACTATCTCCGTGCTGATGAATCGCAGTTTCGTCGCAGGAAATACTATAAGATAATCAATGACAAGGACGAAGGGCTCGGGGGGGAGACATTCTTCGAATTCAAATATGTACCTTTCTACACTCGTACCACACGACTGGGGAAACGCAAATCACCAAAGCGGGTCAAGCGTGGGGTAGAGTATGTGGCGCTCATGGGTCTTCTGTTTGCCGTTGTTGCTGCTGGCACACTGTTGGGCAGCATTTTGTACTTACTAAATAAACTACACCGTTCCTAAGGCACGTTCTCTCAGCAACGGTTAGAGGTCATGAAACTTGGGATGTGTAGCAGACCACTTCTCCAGAGCAGTTTGAAAGGCAAACCTGCTACGAATTTGCTCCGGAGTTGGTTAGAATTCATCCACCGGGTAGAATTAAGAGCTTGTCTAATTGGAGCTCTCCTTGCGTCCTGAAAGCCCGTCCATGGAAGTGACAGTAAGTAAGATCAGGCTGTTCAGTTTTGGGAACTTGTCGCATGAGCTGGAGGCCAGGTCCACTGTGCCCCTGTGTCTGTTTCGCCACGATGACGACATCCATCAGGGCCAGATAATTAGATAAATTCCATAAGAAACATGCAATGGCACTTTAGCACGCCATTGGGATGAGGCAAAATTGATTCTCAGAGCTTTATCAATCCCTGTAGTCCGTCATGCTGGAGGGCCCAATTATCACACCGTTCCTCGGCGCGCTCCAAGCATGTGTCTCAGTCCTCCTTACCATKAGCTATGGAGCCATAGCCGAACGGCTTCGACTGGTGAAGGAGAGCTCAATAAGTGATATGGCCGGTCTGAGCGTGAAGCTCTTTCTTCCAGCTTTAATTGTTGTCCATCTAGGCGAACAACTGCATGCAGACATTGTCCTGAACTATGTTCCTGTCTTAGGTGAGGCATTACCGCAAAGCCGCCAAATTCACAGACGATAGTAGCCTGGTTGGAGGACTGATTGTTCAATTTACAGTCTGGGCGGCTCTGTACACCTCTGCCTCCATCGGACTCGCTCATGCTGTATCCCGAGGCCTTGGACTCCCAGTTTGGGTAACGCCCGCATGCGCATTCAACAACACCACCTCGCTGCCATTGCTCCTCCTGCAATCTCTAGAGAGCGTGGGAAGTTTGAAACTGATCATTCCAGACGGTGACTCAATGTCCGATGCGATTGCCCGCGCTCAGAGCTATTTCCTCCTCTGCGCTGTCGTCAGCAAGACCATCGGCTACGCCGTCGGACCCAAGATGCTCCAGAATGGCAACGACCAGGACGAAGGGAGAGATGCGCAGGACACCGACGCTGAAGCTGGACAGAGCGATAACGGCGGCGATGCAGACGACGACGAAGAAGCCGACGAGGAGACCTCGCTTCTGCCGGAGCGCGCGCAAAAGGCCCGGCGCAAGGTTTCTGGCAAGTTCAGACGTATAGGCCGCCGGGTGTCAGCTTTCTTGCCCGAGCGAGTGAAGCAGGAACTGATGGCGCCGTTTGAGTCGCCGTTTGCCGACGTTGCGATCTTGTGCACTATCATCGGTGCTACGCTTGGCCTCGTCCCTCAGCTGCACAGAGTATTCTTCAGACCCTACGAGGAAGGCGGGATCTTCAACGCCTGGCTTACGTCGAGCGTTAAGAATATCGGCAAGTTGTTCACGACGTTACAGATCTTCGTTGTGGGTGGAAAACTAGGTGCTAGCTTCCAGAGGATGAAGGCCAGTGGTAATTCCGGCGAGATACCTAAGAAAGCAATCGTGACAATCTTCCTGGTTCGCCTTGTCATTTGGCCTGCGTGAGTGCTCGGTGTCGGGACACTTGCTGTACCTAGCACTAACCATCGATATCACAGAATCAGCATCTCCCTCATCTACATGCTGGCCAAACGAACGGGCCTTGTCCGCGACGATCCAATCTTGTGGTTCAGCTTGATGCTGATGCCAGCTGGGCCCCCTGCCTTGGTAATATCAGGCTTTGCGGAGCTGGCAAAGATTTCAGAAGCAGAAAAGATGGCCGTCGCAAAGACTCTGACTGTAAGAAATTCCTGTCTCTTGAAGGAGATTGAAACGTATGCTAATTAGTAGCAGGTTATGTATATGCTCTCGCCATTTGTATGTTTTACCATTACAGGCGCTTTGATGGCATCGCGAGCAGCCTTGGATGGTAAGAATTAGAATCTACCAATATTTAAATGTATGTCCATGCACAGAACACAGAATTAACAGCTCTTACTTTGTACTGTCTGCACATGTACGTCGAGAATAGCTTATATAGTGCACTCTCCTACTAAACCATACGAGAATTAGATATCAGAAGATCGAACAATGAAATAACAATGGTACTTGATTAAATGATGGTATAAAACACACTTTCCTCATTCAAATCATCGTCACCAGTCGAAAGCATTACTCGAACTGATTGCACGTCGTTGCAGTCTTAGAAAGGTTAAAGGTTTACTTCTATACCCAAGTGCAGGTCAGCCCTCATATCCATCCTTTATCAAAACATCTCACCAGTTTCCTGAGAGATAGTCCAAGAGATACGTACTCCGCAACCCTTGCAAGCACAGTTGTTGCTGCAGGTGCAGGACTGGGGTCCGTTGCAGGGGCAGTCGCCGGAGCTAGTGCAGGTGCAGGTATCTCCGCCCATGTTGAATAAGATGTTCAAGAAGTAAAGTTACTGATCAGAGGAAGTGGAATCCGAGTATCCTGATTGGGGTTTTGGTGAGTACCGTGTGGGAATCGACAAAAGGCCATGGCTGGAGAGTTATATACTTTGCGGCGGCAATACCCGAGTTCTAGACCAGCATCATGATGAGGTCAGAGGCCGCATTCCACTGTGGTTTTGCCGCTGTGATAATTCCGGAAATCGAATCATTCGATGTGGTTTGATTGGTTATGAAACTGGTGGAATGTGCTTGAACCTAGCTGCAATAATACGAGGGGTTGTCTTTAAAACGTATATGCTTGCTGTCGGCCCAGTCTGGCAAGATTACTCGATTTGGGTTCGCCTTTCCGAAGGTAACAAGTGGAGGTCGTGCGTATATAATTTACTAGAGAGAATCCAGCAGCAAATGGAGATGTTTGTGTCTCTGTCTCAAGAATAGTAATGCCACCTGGGTAGGTTGCAGTGGTACCAAATGGCTTGAGATCCAGCAATAAACCCCAACTCCCGAGGCGGGAATGGGAAATCCGCGGGGTTGCTCATAGTTAGTTCAACGATGTTTCGTACAATAGTAGATTTGAAGGCAAGGTAAAATTCAAAACGCAAAATAGACTTGGCCACTTGTGGAAGAAAAGTTATCCAGGAACGTTTGAATGCAACAATCATCAGCATCGAATCAAACAGAGAATGACGCGACGTGACMGGACAACGGCAATGAGTGGGCAGCTGATGCGTTGTGCTGATTGAGCTCCATAACCTTCCCTTCGAATATCCGGAGCTCTCCTGTATCAACCTATGAATGACCGGAGATGTTATCTTTCAACGTGATATCGGTATTTGGATAGTCAGCTGCAGCTTATCAACGGTGATCCTGTTCAGATGATCCAGATGCTCTTGTTCCAGCTTCTTTCCGACCGTTGCCATCCCTGAACTTGTCTTTGTTTGTCGGCTGGCTAAGAGCAGTCTCTCGACTTCCGAGGCAGTAGATAGAGCAATATTGAGATTTCTCGGATTCTAACGTATCGGGACTGGAAGCTAAGGTATGATGTGATGATGCTTCTTTTCCCGCAAATATGCCGGACTCTGACTCCAGGAACATTAGAGACGACGGGCTCCTTGTCTGTCATGCAATGGAGCTCATAATCTCAAGATCAAGGACGTAATTTTTGAAGGAAGCAGTTCATAAAGTATTTTGTAGACTTTCTCACAGTTATCGGGCTTGTGAAAGACGGGCTTTACTCGGCCCCCCCAAGACGTAGAGTCACTTGTCCTCGCCCCACGACGAACGAGGAGATCAGCCGCTTGCTTCAACTTCAACCTCAACCTTCACTGAATCAGCGTCTTATTTCAACCTCACCTCTCGTTGCAACATATTTCCTCCTCCGCTGTGGTTATTTGCTTTCCTGCATTCGAGCTTATCAACCAAGCTGCTCGGCTTCGATCAGCCGTTTTCCAGCTCCTTAGTGCCCCTTCGTCACCGCTCCCGTTGGGCTCCCCCTCCCCCGGACCGCTGTCTCACTCTCAGGCCCCGATAAGACCTCCGCCCATCGAGTCTACGATCGACGTCCTTCCACTCTTTGCTCAGATAAACATACCACTTGAGTTTCTCTCTTACTATAAAGACATCAATAATCCAGTTTCGGCCACACAGGAATCGTCGAGCTTGACGACCTGTGACAAGCTTCCACGTGAAACTGAAGCTCCGGGCGAGTATTGGTGAACCCGCCACTGGTTCAGGTCTGCTCGCCTGGTTCTGCTCCAGAGCCAGGAGGAAGGGCAGATCTACCGATCTTCGACCTGGCAGACAACTCTTCCTCTAATACACCCTCCTCCGTCGCTCCCGACCGCCCCAACCTTCCTATCCCACTCGAGCCCACGTCATTTACTTCCGCTCCTCCTCCGGGTAGCTCGACAGACGGCATCCGATCATCATCACAGTTAGAGTCAGGCGTTGAGAGTAACAGCACAACGCCTTCTATCGACAATCCTCCTACATCCGCTGCTCCCCGCCGTCGACGTTTCAGTACGATCGATACGTCTGCTTTCACCGGGGGAACAGGAGGTGTTTCGGGAAATTATACACCTAGTCAGGAACAGGCCTCCGTTCAGCCTCATACTTCGCCGGAAGAACATCCACCGTTCCCCAAGCGCAGGCGCCTGGCAAACATGCGGCCCGATGGTATCTCGAGTGCAAACGGCTTCTCCCAAGCGTCAAACGGCTTGAGTGCATCTCCGTCGCGGAAAACAGTCTTCGCTCACTCTTCCAACAGCCAGCCAGCACACTCCTCCTCAAATGGCGAGTCTCAGAAGAATGGCTCTTCGAAAACATCAAAGAAGACATCCTCTTATTTTGGACACGACCGAGAAGAAGTGACTAGGATATTGATACAAAGTCTGTATGAGCTTGGATACGACGGAGCTGCCTCGCTGCTTTCCATGGAAAGCGGCTATCAGCTGGAAAGTCCGGCAGTTGGTATATTCAGGAAGGCAGTTCTTGAGGGGCGTTGGGCTGAGGCGGAGGATATTCTAATTCAATCGTTCACCTCTGATGCAGATGTGCAAGATACAGGGTTCAGCTCTGGGAAACCTGCAACCTCCGAGAAGCTGCTATTGGTGGAAAATGCTGAGAAGAACGAGATGTTGTTCTATCTACGGCAACAAAAGTTTCTCGAATTGTTAGAAGCACGAGACCTTGGCTCGGCCTTGACCGTCCTTCGGCACGAACTGACTCCTCTCAACTATGACGTTGGACGTCTCCATGCCCTTTCGAGGTGAGTTTCAGAAGGAGCCCCAACCCTAGCGCCTTCGTTTTCGGTGGTACTGATTGGACTGATAGCTTGTTGATGTGCCCTCCTGAGCATCTGCATAACCAAGCTGGCTGGGAAGGGCCCATAAGTTCTTCTCGAGAGCGGTTATTATCTGAACTTTCAAGTGAGCACAGATATTTACCTCCGTGTGCATCTGATGATCCTAGTGCTGATTTTCTTCCAGAATCCATATCCCCATCCGTGATGATACCAAACAACCGTCTTGCGATTTTGCTAAATCATGTCAAGCAAAATCAAATAAACCGGTGCTTATATCATAATACTGCAACCCCTCCGTCGCTATATTCGGATCATATGTGCGATAGGAATGATTTTCCACTTCGAACCGGAGTCGAACTAAGTCAGCATTCAGATGAGGTCTGGTATTGCCAATTTTCCCATGACGGCTCAAAATTGGTCACGGCAGGGCGGGACCGTCACGTATACATCTACGACACAACCAACTTTTCTGTGTACCGGCAGTTGGAGAAGCACGAGGAGGGTGTTGCCCACGTCAGTTGGAGTCCGGATGATACTAAGCTCATAACGTGTTCCCAGGATAAGAAAGCCCGCGTGTGGAGTGTTGAGGTATGGATGTCTTCATTAATCTCAGGCGTCCGTCTATCGTCTCTAACCGAAACTTAAATACAGACCGGCCGCTGCCTTCTGACCATCAATCATCATCGTCAGCCCGTAACGGCTGCCGTATGGGCTGCAGATGGAGAGTCCTTTGTGACCGCGTCCCTTGATTTAAGCTCCCAACTGTGCCACTGGAGTATGCGAGGCGATCCTCTGTATACATGGCATGGCGGCTTCAGGGTTCAAGATTGCGCCATCACCGCCGACGGGCGCCGACTGATCGCTGCGGATGTCGAAGAAAAAATCCATGTTTATGACTTTGCGACTCACGAGGAGGAATATTGTCTCGCACTGAAGAGCAAACCCACTTCTGTCGCTGTCAGCAGAGATTCACGATACATGCTCGTGAACCTGTCTGAAGGTCAGATACAGCTGATCGACCTTGATACTACGGAGGTTATCAGGCGTTTTCAGGGGCAAAAACAGGGTCATTTCGTCATCCGAAGTGCCTTTGGTGGCGCAGCCGAAAACTTTGTTGTCAGTGGCAGCGAAGGTTTGTCTTTACTCCCGTCCAGATGCATGTACCAAGCTGATAGTGTGCAGATTCTCGGGTCTACATATGGCATAAAGAGAACGGTACGCTAGTAGAAACGTTGGAGGGACATATTTCAGGTTGTGTCAATGCGATATCCTGGAATCCTACAAATCCTGGCATGTTTGCATCCGCAGGTGATGACTGCTTTGTCAGAATGTAAGTCATACCGTCGACCCCTCTTATCGGCTTCGTCTAACAAACAATCTAGCTGGACCCGCGAACGAGACATGCAGCGATATGCCCCAGCTAGTAAAGGCGAGGCGGTATCAGTGAATGGCTCTGCACGGACGAGTGCACTACGATCAACGTCAAGTTTCTGAGCCAATCTTCTTGAAACCCGGTCCGAAATTGTTTTCATCCCAAAGATCCGGCTGGCATCGAGAAGGTATATTAAGAGCCTTCGACGAAAAGAAACAGAATCGCCCCTTTATTCCTAGATTCAGTATTTTCTTCAGTCTTAACAGCATATACACATCATTAGTCTGGCTGTGGTTTCATATGATATAGGGAGCAGGCGCCCTGGTTTTGGTATCACAGATTCTTTTTTGCATTCGCTGCGAGCATTTTGATGGATTGCTTCGTGGTCGGCAGTTGCACATGAATACATCACCAGCTTACATACAATGCTTTCTCTTTGGCTTTTCTTTCTCATGGGCTCGAAAGACTCGGCTGGTTGCGGCGAACTATAGGAAACGGGTCAGGCGAGTGTATTTGGAGATATTGGCTTCTTCTCTATGAAATATTAAGGAAATCCATCAATTCTTTATAATATGCTCAGCCTTAACGTTATCGTAAATCCTCCCATACATAACTGGACATGTGGACTCAAGGTTGCAATAACCAGAATACCAACGAAATTACATTTATGGTATTCAGTATCCAGGCACCAGAATTTTAGGCATTATTTCAAATCGATATCGAATTCCCAAACCAGCTAAGGAAGCAAGATCCCTGAATGACTAAATTGAACTCCGAAATAAAACAGACGAGATAGATGTTTTACATTTTGTCGTGAATCAGATGACCCTGGCTTTTTCCGATAATGAGTCTGATATACGTCAAAATTTCCATGAACTAGTGGAATAGATAACGTCAGTTCTCACTTTTCCAGCTTGGGGCTCTGATTTAAAAGATAGGTAGTGGAGCTCACCATTCTGGTAAAATTCCCCCTTTCCTCCGCTGGTTTTGCCTCTATTCTTCCTGGTATTTTGTGACGAGGCACACTGATGAAGTCCTTTCGCATTGTTTCTTCGGGAGGTGTGATGACATATGAGCTGAGGGCAGTTTTTCGTGATGAAACTTGGAGATATCAAGATGAGAGTCGATTACGAAAGGAGATCAGCGACTAAACAAGGGTTAGTATATCTTTGTGTCATGAGTGAAAAGCGAGTGAAAGTGAAGGGACTTACCATTCATAGGCATCTCATCGATCTGGGTAGAGTAGTACAATTCAATGTCACGGAGAATCCGCACGTCATCGCTGGTGACGAAATTGATGGCCACACCCTTTCTTCCGAATCGACCACTTCGACCAATACGGTGGATATAGTTCTCACGGTTGGTGGGTAGGTCGTAGTTGATGACGAGCGAGACCTGCTGAACGTCGATACCACGAGCCCAGACGTCGGTGGAGATGAGGACACGAGAGTTGCCCTGGCGGAAGTCTTGCATGATACTGTCACGTTCCTTCTGTGGCATTTCCCCGTGCATGCTGGATACTGTGAAATTGGCTTCGCGCATCTTATCAGTCAGCCAGTCGACCTTCCGGCGGGTATTGCAGAAGATCACGGCCTGCGTGATGGTCAAGGTGTCGTAGAGATCGCAAAGGGTATCAAACTTCCACTCTTCTTTCTCAACCGCGATGAAGTATTGTTTAATGCCTTCCAGAGTCAATTCGTCACGCTTGACAAGAACGCGGACGGGGTCTGTCATGAATTTCGTCGTCATGTCGAGGACGTCGTAGGGGAGAGTGGCGGAAACGACAACGACCTGTGTAGCGGGAGGGAGGTAGCGGTAGACATCGTAGATTTGTTCACGGAAACCGCGATTTAGAAGTTCGTCAGCCTCATCAAGCACCAGCATCTTGATGTGCCGAGTGCGTAGGTGGCGTCTACGGATCATGTCCGCGACTCTGCCTGGTGTACCCGAAACAACGTGCTGGCCATAGTCCAACTTCCGAATATCCTCGCCGATATTTGTGCCTCCAATACAAGCGTGGCACTGTACATTCATGTAATCTCCCAAGGCCATAATGACCGACTGAATCTGAGTCGCAAGTTCGCGGGTCGGCGAAAGAACAAGAGCTGAGGCTAGTTAGGGTCGCTTCATCGGGCACAGAGGGGGTATTAAGTGGCATACCTTGTGTCTCGCGCACAGCTGTGTCGATAACTTGCAGGATACTGATCGAAAATGTGGCGGTCTTACCAGTACCAGATTGCGCTTGAGCGATCGTGTCACGACCCTTGCAAATCTGGACAATCGCTCGCGACTGGACGGCGGAGGGAGATTCGTAGCCGTAAGCATAAATACCACGAAGGAGGCTTTCCTTCAGGTGCATGTCCTCGAAGGTCGGGGCAACCGTGACCTCCTTCGAGGTGCTGAACTCCAGCCTGTCTGAATTTGCGCCGTTAGCCTATATCTCCTCATGAGGTCCATTATCCGCATACCATCTGTCCGTCGATCAATGCCCTCAGCCATTTTGTCTGTTCCAGGAAGCTTGTAGAGATTGCGATCAGCTTGATTGATGTTGGTCTGGAGATGTGACAGTTCGTGAGCGCAACTTGAGTTTGCGGCGCGAGTGCCACTGCCCGGAATCACGTGATGATACTCGCCGCAAAGCTCAAAGCGGCGTCAATCTGCCGCATAACGTCCAAAGCATCGCAAGGTAACACACTTGTTAAGGGCTTCTTTCAGCAGGTGTTTTCATCATGGTTCTTGAAGAACAGAGATTTATCCATGAGGATCTCGAGAGGTTAGAGCAAGCAGTGGCAGATCGCGTTGCTGAAGAACCTCGTAACGTAAGATATCCGTCTGTCTTGCTACATTGGTCACAGCTGATTGTTGGTTTCTTTTCAGATTCGGGAGCGCCTTGCTCGTGACCATGAGATTGCTCATTTCTTGTCGCGCATAGAAGACCAGTCGAAGAGGTTACTCGAAATCTATCAAGATGCAGACAAAGCCCGCGAAAAGGAGATCCAGGCCATCTMCACTGGTGAGCAGTTCGACGAGTTTTACCGGCAGCTGGACGAGATCAAAGACTTCCACAAGCGCTATCCTAATGAGCCGGTTGAGAACCTCGAGAGAGCGTACAAGCGCCGTCAACCTGGTGAGGGCGAACCGACGGGAGTAGAAATCGACACGATGTTCTCCGGCGAGGAGGCCTACGGGCAGTTTCTGGATCTCACAACGATGCACGAGGACTATCTGAACCTCCCTGGCGTTAAGCGAGTTACATACATCCAATATCTCGACGTGTTCGACTCATTCGTACCCCCACATCTCCTTATCAAGCGTGCGAATAAGATATCCGACAAGTACTTCAAGTATGTCGGAGAGCTTGCCGGTTACTTGGAAAGCTTTATCAAACGCACAAAACCTTTGCAGGACCTCGACAAACTTTTCGCAAGCTTTGACGAAGACTTTGAGAAGCAATGGGCAGCAAACCAAGTGCCTGGATGGACAGAAGAGAGCGTTGAGAATGGTACTCAGGCTCCAAAGACACAAGGCTCTGGGGAAGGCATCTGGTGTGCCGATTGTGAAAGAGAATTCAAGAACGAGAACGTTTATAAGAACCACTTGACTGGCAAGAAGCACATTCGGGCCGCCGAAGCTCGCAAAGCTGCAGGTGACTCAGGCACGGCTGCACCACCGTCAGTTGGTGGCGTTACCTCTGTGGTCCACCGTCTGAAAGAACGCGCCGTCGCTGAGCGCGAGCACCGAGTTCGCTCTTTAGCCAAGGTCCTCGACCCTGAACGTCAGGCGACCCGTATCAACGTTGAGCGGAGGCAGGGCATGACTGAGCGCGAGCGGCAGATGGAGCTGGAGGCCTTGATGGCTGAATATGAAAACGCTGGCGGTCCCGGGGGCAACGAACAGTCCGATGATGAAGGAGACGAGAGGATTTACAACCCACTCAAGCTTCCTTTGGCATGGGACGGCAAGCCTATTCCTTACTGGCTGTACAAGCTGCACGGTCTGGGCGTCGAGTATTCTTGTGAGATTTGCGGAAACTTTGTTTACATGGGTCGCCGCGCTTTCGACAAGCACTTTTCGGAAGCCTTACATATTTTCGGCTTGAAGTGTCTGGGAATCACGTCAAATACTAATCTCTTCCGAGAAATTACCCGAATCGAAGACGCCATCAAACTGTGGGAGAAACTTGAGCAGGATCGTAAGAAGGAACGGGACTTCCGCGATAACGTGGTGCAGATGGAGGATGCCGAGGGTAATGTGATGCCAGAAAGGATCTACCTCGAGTACGTTTCCCTTTTCCTCAAGAAGCAAAACGATGCTAACTTGTTACAGTCTGCAAAAGCAGGGTATTTTGTGATCAATCTGCTCAGTGTGCCTTTCGTTCCTTGCTTGGTCCGTTTAGAGTAAAAGCCTGGAGTTAAACGGTCTTCTTCTCTTTGAGCATATGATATTAACTCGCTCGTTGGGACGGTATTGATTGGGTTTGACTATTTTATCTCACCACGACTATGACGGCCCTGCGCCTTATGTACTCTATTTAGAACTGATTGACATTGAGAAATGCAGTCTTTCTCCGAAAACATAATTTCATATAACAATCCTGTAGGGTTTCAAAGATCTGGTACAGGTCACGTGCTTTCGTGACCCATGGACGCGCCCACGGTTTGTCCTCGCGTCATCTCCTCTCAGAGAGGTCGCAAATTTTCTGATCTCACGAAGTAATTGAATGAGGCATGTGGTTGCCATCTGTCAGGCTGTCAAAGACACCTTGTGAAGCTCGTTCGAACGCTAGGTCCACTCATGGTCTTTTGCCCTAGGAAGCGGCAACCACGATAAGGATCATCGCTCATACCCATTCATGGTGTTCAAGTTTACCTACCTGTGCGATTTGCTCTCAGAATTAGAGCGTAATAGAGTCATAAAGGCTTCTATTGCGTCAAAAATCTCGAATCCTGATGATCGTGCCGTGACCCGTTGGTTTGCCCAACATGGCAAACGCATTCATGCTTCCGACACGGATGAAATAGCTCTCTTGTCATGCATATTTCCAGAGAAACGAACGGACAGAGTCTACTGGCTGCAGTGCACCAATCTTGCAAGGGTCATAGGCCGTTGTCTTCTGCTAGGTTCTGATCGACGCCAGGAGCTCGAGCGATGGCGAGTCGCGGGAGGTACCGACTTGGGGCAATGTGTAGAAAATGTCATGCGACAAGCGGAATTCGACATCATAAGCGGCCAAGAAGTGACTGTTGAAGAGATAGACGTGGCATTGAACAAGATTGCTTCGCGATGCAGGTTCTCCGGTTCTCGAGTGCGCAGGCAGCATAGCGCCGTCGATGTCGAGGATACATTGAGACCATTATATCGGCGCATGAGCAGTAGAGACGCAAAATGGCTTACTCGAATGATACTAAAGAGTTATCATCCGGTAGTGTTGCCGGCTAAGCTCACGATGAAAAGCTTTCATTTCCTGCTTCCGAATTTGCTGCTTTTCCAGGATTCTTTTGACTCTGCTCTAAAAATGCTTGCTTCTGAACCTCTTAGCCACTACCCACCCAATCCGATTCCGGAGCTCGCAAAGGATCTGTGTATGCAGGCTTTACAGCATCTCAAACCCGGAATTGGGACCAAGATAGGCCGGCCCGAGTACTATAAGGCGCGAAGTATCCAACATTGCTGCCAAATGATTGGCCGTCGTCGAATGAGTATAGAAAGGAAGTATGATGGGGAATACTGCCAGATACACATTGACCTCACGAAGCGCCCCAATCCCATCCAAATTTTCTCCAAAAGTGGCAAGGATTCTACCGACGACAGGGCGGGAATCCACTCTGTGATCAACGACTCACTGAAAATCGGTAAGCCTGGATGCAAATTCTCTCGCCAGTGCATCCTCGAGGGTGAAATACTTGTCTGGAGCGACAATTACGGCAAGATTGCAGATTTCCATAAGTTGCGCAAATTCATTGCTCGCTCAGGCACCTACATTGGAATAGATAACGATTCCCCGTAAGTGAAGGAGCATGAGCACATGGCATTAAACATTGCTGACCTGCGCTAGCCCGCAACCTTATGAACATTTAATGATTGTTTTCTTCGACATTCTGCTTCTTGATGACGACATCTGCCTTAGGAAGCCACATCGTGAGCGACGGCTGCTTCTAAAGGACGTTGTAAAAGTAATAGATGGATATGCGGCCATTGCAGAGCAACACATCGTCGAATTCTCCCGTCCCGACGGTCGATCTCGTCTCGAAACAATATTTTCGAAGGCCGTTACAGAAAGGTGGGAAGGACTCGTCCTGAAAGGTTGTGAAGATCCCTATTTTTCTATCTTTCCTGGTTCAGAGAACGGCTCTGCTGGTCGCTGGATCAAGCTCAAAAAGGACTATATACCAGGGTTGGGTGACACGGTGGACCTGGCATTGATCGGTGCGAAATATGACTCTCGTGATGCTGCTGCGTTGAATCTATCCACGAAGATATTTTGGACACACTTTTTCATCGGCTGTCTGGTCAACAAAGACGCGGTCCTACAGTCCGCAGCTGAGCCAAAGTTTCAAGTTATGGATGTGATTGACCATAACTCCATGAGCCTTAAAAATATGCAAATTCTCAATCAATGTGGGCAGTTTGGTGCTTGCAGTCTGGATTCAGGCCATGGATTCCGGATAGAATTTGGAAAGGATAGTCTCTCCGACATGAACACTGTGTTCAAGGAACCATTCGTCGTTGAGATGTTGGGAAGTGGATTCGAGAAGCCATCAGGTGCCAGATATTTTACACTTCGATTCCCTCGAATTCAAAAGATTTTCCTGGACAGATCATTTGAAGAGGCAGCCTCGTACCAAGAACTCCAACTACTAGCTGAAGAAGCTCGTATGGTACCAGCAGAAGATTTGCATCAAGAGGAAGAGTGGAGAAGACAGCTCCGGGGACAGGTGTTATCCCACTATATCGTGACCAAGTCACAGACGACATCCTCTGGGACAAGCTCGTGTCCGATGACAACATCTAGCCCGAGCAAGGGACCGTCCTTCGAAGCTGTCGCCACGACTGTCGTTCGAACCCAACTGCAACATCCATCGAGGGACTCCATCCAGCAATCGAATCGCGTCAATGAGGAGCATGCACCAGCAGATCCCATTCCCATTTTCGTGGATTCTACGACGTCCGTATCGTCACCGGAACCATCCGACCCGCCTCGAGAGCTTCTGAGAAGCAATGACAACCTATCGTCCGTCCAAAAAAGTAGTAAAAGACGAAACCAGGAGTCTTCCTCCGACCCATCCAAAGGTAACAGTGCTAGTTACGGCGAGGAGAATGAAACCATCCTTCCATCGAATGCCTCTAATGAGTTGGAATCCTGCATAACTTTAACTTTGCAACCGAGAAAGCGTCGAAAGCTCACCGAGAACCGTGCCGCCACTGTCACTCCCATCGTTCCTAGCTCTTGCAGCCATCAACAATCATGCATCGAGTCACCGCTGGCAATTATCCCATTGTACTTCCGTCAGTACTTGGATCATGATAACTCTGCCAACAGGTTAATCCCTCCCAACTCATCCAATCTCTCCAAGGATATCCAGGACTTCGTACAGAAAGTATGCTCAAACAGACCATATGTTATTGCCAAGAGCCGCAATTCAAGTGCCGCATATCATGACCTTGCCCTGGGCATGTATATAGCAGCAATATCGCAAGACTCGCTTGGAAACCTGCTTCTCGAACTCAGCCAACAGGTCTCAACGGCACTCAAATCGAACAGACATAAATCTCCGCGAAACGGCAAGATTTTCATACTTGATGCCAAATTCCTCACTCTCAAGGCAAGACTAGACGACCCCAGATTTCTCCTTCGCACGACATGGGACAGTATCGGGAGAGAATACTCCTACGCCTGCGTATCATGGAGCTCGGAGACAGGCGTTGAACACTCGAATGATGGTGTAAGTGCTACAGAGATACCCGGAACCCCAGTGGATGGTGAAGGAGGTCATCGGTTATGTTTTCGGGAGTTTATTAAAGCACAGAGTGCTGCGAGAGGGCCTCGTATTTCTATAACGTTTGACAACCGCGAATTGGGGATTCTGGGAGATTTGAGCTTCTAGATATGCCTTGTATTGCGGTCCATTTTATACCCTCGGGACAGGAGCTGGGGAGTTATTGCTTGGGGGACTGTTTGGAACCTTCTTTTGTTTACAGCGTTCTTTGGACTCGACCATGGAATGATATAATAATAGTCCAATGTATATGATAAGACGATTGAAGGAGAAGCCACTGGGGGACAGACTGCGATTTGCATACGACGCACAATGCAGAAGGTTGGTTTATCCTTTACATGTAATGTTGTCCGATGGATATTCGGCCATGCTATTGCTACTTTTAAGTGTGCGTCATATTGGTCTATATCAAGTTATACCCTACCCATCCCTTTTCGACATAACGCCCTCGCTAAGCTTCATAAAAAGAGTACGTCAACATAGATATGACTCCGTTGAAATTATACACCTCCTTCTCGTCTGGCCCGGACATCTCTCATTAATGCCTTTGCCTCTTCGACTTCGACTCCGTCCTGACATAGTTCACCCGCCAATTGATCTGCTCGTTCCAGGTCACCGTGGCGCAAGGCCCACCGCGCAAGCCACAGACGTGCCTTGGATGTCGTAGCTGTCACACCGGTACCATGATATGCACCATCCTCGCTATCGTTCTGGTTGCCGAACGAAGACGACTGTCGAGCGCGCCGTGAGCCTTGCTGGCCTTCACCACCAGACTGCTCATCGTCGTTGTCGTTGTCCGAGACAAAGGATTCATCCTCGGGACCTTGGCCAGTTTCCTGCTGTAGCGTGAGCTCCATGTATGCCGCGGCTTCTTCTTCATCCCCGAGCCGCTCGTAGAGGGTGGCAATCTGGTGCAGGGTCTCGGGGTCGAGAATCTTGCGCCCCGGTCCGCCCATTCCACCGCTCTGGGAGGCGTCATCTGCGTAATATGAACCGGCGACGAGGGCGCGTTTGAGCGCTTTGATGCTTTGTTCGACCCGGCCCATCTTGGCATAGCAAGATCCCACCGCCTGCCACATTTTGGGATCGTAGGGCCGCAACGCTGCTGCGCGCTGGTAGTAGAATAAGGCGTAGAATGACATGTCGAGCACTTCGTACGCTTGGCCCAGACCGTACCAAGCACGGTAATCCTTGCGGTTCACGTCAACGGCCCGGCGGTAGGACTCGATTGCCGCGTGGGTATTTTTCATTTCGATGTACTCATGGCCCATGAGGGTCCAGGCCGAGAGAAAGTTTCGATCAAGGGTGAGAGCGCGTCGGAAGTACATCACGGCTTTCTCATGTTCGGATTTTAGGGAGTAATAATTGCCGACAACACAGCATGTTTCCGGGCGGAACTTGTCGGTGGCGGTTGCAACCTGGGCGACGAAGGCTAGCTGTGGACGCGCTCCCATGACGTAAAGTATATTGGAGTAGTGATCAAGGCTGTCGAGACGGTGAGGGGATGTTATCAATATCTCTGTAAATATATGTGATGCTTCTTCAAAGTCTACAAGGATAGTTAGCCTGAGTTCAGCGACGGGAACAGAAAACCAGAACCTTTCGAATGGTAATAGAGAAGCGCTTTTTGTGTCTTTAGGAATGCGCTGGTAGGAAAGATCGTCTCTAGCTCTGACAGGGCCTGATAGGTGTCTTCGGTCGCCTGGTAGAGCTCTTGACTGCAATAAACGTGAAAGATGAGGGTCATGATGTTCTGCGGGAGAAGGTCTACTATTTGTTTCAGCTGCGCAAAGGATCAGTAACTGGCAACAAGGTCCGTCAGCGGCAGGATAACATACATCTTCCGTGCTTGAAAGCAGATCGTTCAGCTCTTGCCAAGCACCCCAATGAAATGGGTTCAAGTGAACACTCCTGATAAGCCATTTCTTGGCCTCCTCTTCATTGCGACCTTTTAGAAGGACAACACCATAAAGATACTCCAGCCAGCCCTGGTTGCGCTCTTCCAGGCCTTTTTCTCGTCTCTCCGCAAACCACCCTTCAAGCCCCCAAGCCAAGCCGGGGAGTTCCCGGTTGACGGTCATCCCTCCATCTGCCGGGCCCAGCACCATCTCGGTCTCTTCATCCTTTCGCTTCTCCCCCGCTAGATATTTGGCGTACAAGGCGAGGAACAATGACTTTTGACTCAGCTTGGGATATGGATTCCTTGCTGTGCTATTCTCTTTGACACTCGAGTACGAAGTAGCCTTGGCTTTGCCTTTCTGCGGAGTCAATGATTGTCTCGTTTTCGGTTTCGGCGACGTTGTAGGCAGTGATGTGCTGGAGAGTGGGACAGGGGGTATGGTTGGTGGAAGGAAGACAGCAGCGCAACGGTCATACTCGCGCGTATCAAAGTAGGATTTCGCCAACAGATATTTATGAGCTTCTTGGGCCTCTAGCCCAAGCTCGAGAGGGTCTTGGCTGCGAAGGTAAGGATTCTGGGGAGTCGGCGGGGCATCAGCTATTTCCATTGGCGAGTCAGGATCTGTATCATATTGATCAATCGGCAGGAGGGAGTCGAGCATCTCGGCAGCCCTGTGTTGAAGAAGCCACATCAGTTTAACGCTTAGCAAAGGGTCAATCTTGGTCTGTACCATTTGGCAGATTGGTAAAGACATCGCTCGGAGCACTTGATGGTCGCGTCTTCAAATCGATACTGTAGATCCTTGATATTGTCTTCCGTTATATTCGCCGCCATCTTGATCAGTATTGAGGATCTTCCAAGATCCTATCGCACAGAATGTCTCTGGAGGCGTGTTGGCATACGTTGTTGGACGCGTTGCGAAGCTTCTTCCTTGGTACTTAGACCGCTATCACATTCGTCTCTCAAGCGGAACAAGAGCGGCGCTAGCTATCTCGACGGTTGCGTTGAGTCTATTGTCGCGCCTTGCTCGAATCGCGAATGGCCGACACGGACTGTTAGCGCTGAGATGATCACGCGAGAGCTGTTGCTGCTGATCCCATGTAAGTCCAGGCAGTCCACAGGTACTGACAGCCGTATTATCTCAGAAATACGCAGATAACGACCCCAAATGCTGTGAGGGAGAACCTGACAGTGCATAGAGGAGTGATCATCATCATACTTGACCGACAAATTTCCCGATTGGGCCATTTCCCCATGGAGCCAAAGAGGGCAAACGATGCAAACATCCCTGTCCGAGGGGTTCCCGTTATCGCAGATGGTTTCCGCCCCCTCGACATTTTTGGTATAACTCGGCAACATCAGTTACTTAAAAAGGGCTCGAAAATAACTGCATTGTTCCCCAAGAACACTTTCAATACAAGCAGGATGGCGACTACCACTAGCCGAGAAGCCTTTGAGGCTGTTTTCCCCACGTTGGTCGAAGATCTCCTGGCCCATGCTAGGAAATACAATCTGCCTGAGAATGCGATGAAGTGGTTTGAACAGGTGAGCCCCGGTCGACGCGCTCGCTGACAATCGATCTCAGAACAACCTTGAAGCTGACCAATATTCCTTCAATAGGTCCTCAATGTCAACGTCCCTGGTGGAAAGCTCAATCGCGGCCTCTCTGTTCCAGATACCGGCCTCGCTCTACTTCAGAAGCCCCTGACCGACGAGCAGTTCAAGCATCTCAGCATCCTGGGTTGGCTGACCGAGCTGCTCCAGGCTTTCTTCCTGGTTAGCGATGACATAATGGATGGCTCGATCACTCGTCGTGGCCAGCCTTGCTGGTACCGCCACCCCGGAGTTGGGATGATTGCTATCAACGACGCGTTCATGCTCGAGTCCGGCATCTACGTTATCCTCAAGAAGCACTTTCGCTCACACCCGGCCTACGTCGATTTTATTGAACTGTTCCACGAGACCACCTGGCAGACGGAACTCGGTCAGCTGTGCGATCTCATTACGGCCCCTGAGGACAAGGTTGACCTGGACAACTTCTCCATGGAGAAGTACATGTTCATCGTGACCTACAAAACTGCTTACTACAGCTTCTACCTTCCCGTTGCTCTTGCGTTGCTCTACCTCGAACTCGCCACCCCGGAGAACCTCCAACAGACCCACGACATCCTGATCCCGCTGGGCCAGTACTTCCAGGTCCAGGACGACTACCTGGACGCCTATGGTGACCCGTCCGTTATTGGCAAAATCGGCACCGATATCCAGGACAACAAGTGCTCCTGGCTGGTCAACCAGGCTCTTCAGCGCTGCAACACTGAGCAGCGCAAGCTCCTAGACACCGCCTACGGCCGCAAGGACGACGAGCTTGAGGCCAAGATCAAGGCCCTTTACAGGGAACTCGATTTGGAGAAGGTCTACAAGGAGTATGAGGAGAAGACCGTTGGTGAAATTCGCAGCAAGATCGCAGCCATTGACGAGAGTCAGGGCCTGAAAAAGGAGGTCTTCGAGGCATTCCTGGGCAAGATCTACAAGCGCACCAAATAGTCGCATTAAAAATATGGGGCATGTTACATTCTGTCTCTTAATACCATGCCTTGATTCATTTAGTTGCATACCCCTCCAAACACATAGAACAGCTAATGATTATATGACGTGCTGTTAAAACGCATGTATCTACAGTTCATGAGCTTGTGTCGTTAGACAGATACTTCCTTGATACAAATATCTAATGCATATATAGAGGCTTCTTTGATCGTGGTACAATGCCACAAATGAATGAACTGTACTTGATCGTGAGATGAGCTGGACATTGGCGGACTGGGGACCTGCCGCCAATATTCGTGCCAACGCACGAATGCCCACTTGCCTTGCGACAGTGGCAAACATCTGGATGGGAGCAATTCGAAATCGGTCTGTTTGCCTCGTCAAGCAGGACTGGTCCTCCAATGACGAAGTAAGCACCCTTCAGTTGCCTTTGAAATCGATCCGGCCAGAGAAGCGAGGATGAGAGACAACTGGCGCGGGCCTCCACATAGGGGCATGTCAATGTTGAGCCCACTCTGACCTTGGAGTTATTGCCTCAGCCAGTGTGATGTTCAGGAAGAAATGGCGCGTGAGGCACTCTCGGTGAGGTTAAGCTGGTTGCTGCAAGGTTCTTCTCATTCCTCGGAGGAGGACATTGATTGAGTATCCGCGCATGATAACCAAGCTGTATAAGGCGAGCCTGATAACCTCTCAGAATATCTGTAATGAGAAGTAGGAGAACGTTTGCAATGCGGGCTAAAGACAAGAGCAGCGTAGTACTGCGCGTAACTTCCGCAAGGAACAAGTTGCAGCAACCTCAGGACTCATCCTCCATCGCGCAGTCTTGTCCCCTCACGTTGTCGCCAACTCATGAACCTCCCTGGGACAGCCTTTTCCAGCGACTCCAAACCCGAAATACCTCTGGCATTTCCAAAAGTAGCGTGCTTCAGCTTTGATATATCTACAGACTCGATAAACAGTGGCTCCTAAGTACCGTCATCATTTTGCACTCATACAAATAGCATCATCCAGGCACAACACAAGTGGCAATAGACTCCATCTCGCTGCCAGCGCATATTTACTTGCTCCTTAAACCATCGCTAAGTCTCTAGCGTTCTGATTAATCAAAAGATGGGCATCTTGACTCCACCTGGCCACGCCATACCCGCTCGGCGTACAGTCTCGGGCTTGGGATTGCTGATTCATCGACAGAGATAGAACACAATCAAGAAAGATGAAATGATCTTGCGCCGATTACAAAAATTCTTGGCAATCCCGGTGTCCAGACGAATCCAAGCCCATTATGAGTGACGAGACACGAGTCAGGACGGCTTCGAATGGGTGGATCAGGTGGATCTAGGCGACGAGATGGTGCTCGCTCGTGGAGACGTGGACGTCCGCGCGTCTATCGCAATAGTTCAAAAACTTGATGTCGCAGTCATCTCATCTCGTTCTCTTTCATTTTCCTTCCTAAATATATGAGCCAACCAAACATGTTGGCTGCACCGTGGCCGACACACTGCTAGTGCCCTCGGTCTGCTGTACATATCTCAGCCTTCTCAGGGCATCTCTTTGATGTGATGAGGCTGGGGCATGCATGGTTGGCCGTCGCAACGGCATTCACTCTTGTAGAAGCTGATCGTGGACCGTATTTCCAGTCGAGTCGCTTTGAAAATGGGGACCTTGGACAATGGCCGATGGAGTCCTATCGTTCGACTGCTCTGATGGGCCCCTTATTGAACTACGTGAAGTCCAATCCTCAATGCAAGGATGGGCAGTACACGCTGATTGCGCCCCGAGGAATGGCGGTGCCAAATCCGGGGCCCATGATCATCGATCAGGATGGTCACCTGGTGTGGACCAAACACTACGGGCAGACGTACAACGTGAATGTATACAGTTACAAGGGCCAGGACTATCTCACGTTCTGGGTCGGTAACGATGGGATCGTTGGTCATGGGGACGGGACATACTACATGGTAAGCCCTGTGTCTAGATGGTAATCAGGCGACAAATGCCAATCCTCTGTACAGCTAGATTCGGCCTACGAAGAGGCCTATACGGTCCGGGGAGCCAACGGCCTGCTTGCAGACCTCCACGAGTTCCACATCACCAGCGATGAAACCGCCCTCTTCACCGTCTACGACGTCGTCCCGGCAGATCTACGGTCTGCAGGCGGGCCAGAAAAGGGCTGGATATGGGACGGCACATTCCAAGAGGTCGACATCGAGACCGGCCAGCTGCTTTTCCAGTGGCGTGCATCCCAACACTTCAACCTCACCGACGGCTACCGCGGCCGCGAAGACACCGGCGACTCCCAAGACCGCCCCTGGGACTTCTTCCACATCAACAGCGTCGACAAGGACGCGACGGGCAACTTTCTCGTCTCCTCGCGCTACATGAGCTGTCTCACGTACATCGACGGCCGCACAGGCAAGATCATCTGGCGCCTCGGCGGCAAGCACAACGACTTCCAAGACCTCTCCGCCGGCGCCGCCACAAACTTCACCTGGCAGCACCACGCCCGCTTCCGCGACAACGGCTCGGCCATCACGCTCTTCGACAACGCTTCCCGCGGCGAGGGCGCCTCGGACCTCACCAGCCGAGGCCTCTACCTCGACCTCGACACGCAGCAAATGACCGTCCGCGTCCGACACGAGTACTGGAACCCGCACCCCATCAGCAGCCAGTCCCAGGGGTCCGTCCAGCTCCTCGACAGCGGCAACGTCCTGCTCGGCTACGGCTCCAACGCCGCATGGACAGAGTACACCGTCTCCGGCGACGTCCTCTGCCACGTCCACTTCGGCCCGCAATCCGCCTTCGGCGCAGGCAATGTCCTCTCCTACCGCGTCTTCAAACACGCCTGGACCGGCCGCCCGCGCACGAACCCGGATCTCTCCCTGTACCGCTACGAAGCAGCCGTCAGCTGGAACGGAGCGACAGATGTCGCGACATGGGTCCTTCAGGGCTCGGACACGCGTGACCCCAACGACGAGGAGTCAATCACCTTCCTCACCGCAGTTCCCAAATCCGGCTTCGAGACTATCATCCCCATCCCCGCGCAAACATCCCAAGACTACCTGCGTGTCCTTGGCCTCAATGCTACAGGTCAGATCCTCGGCGCGACCGCATGGCTGCACTGGGACCCGGCGTCTGAGGAAGTGCTCCTCGGCCCGGGGGACAGCGACGCTGACGATGCCGCGTCCTCGATCGATGTGCGTGCGTTCCTGTTCTTCGCTGTGGGGTTCGCGTCTGCCGTTCTTCTAGCCGTGTGTGCGTGGTTTGTCCGGCGATGGTTTGCGGCGCGAGCTGCTGGCCGGAAACGAGGCGGATGGAAGCCCGTTGATGAGTCCGATGGGGATGAGCATGATCTTAGCGAGAGGGAGTTTGAGGGCGTTGAGTTTTCGCTGTTGGGGCATAAGCGATTGTCGCGTTCGACTTTGAGTGGGGAGTTTGATGATGATGATTGAGGCAGTTCGGATTCATATGCTACACTTAGTCCTACTATGGATCATATATGAAGGCAATTAAGGAATGCATACAGGGGATCACTTCTCATGGACTGGAAGCAATCTTGCAGAAGCGCAATGGTAGTTTACCTCAACAGTAAGGACCAGTAGCCATCAACATCAGACCTAATCGACGTGGAATTAGGTGGAAGGGTCGATTAGAGATTTGTTACAGCTATTCCAATTGAATTTACCAATTCATGATTTCATTGGTTGTCTCACAGCGAGACTAATGAGCGACTGACTAGCTATCTGGACTATAAAAGATTGTCGGTCCAACATCAAGTCCAACTACCCAAAGAAAGGGGAAAGCTCCCTTAAGCAGTAGCAGAAACCTGAAGGCGCTTGAAACCTCCCTCAGCGGCGACCTGCTTCTGCAGCTCAGCCATGCGCTTCTGGTCACCGAGAGGGTCGGTCGAGTCCCCATCCAGGTCCCAGGAGAGGTACTTGTTGGTGTAGTTGGGCTCGAAGTCCGCGTCGAGGATGCCCAGACGCTTTCCATAGTTGGTGACCTTGGCCCAGTCACGCTGGACGTTCTTCAGGTCGCGGCTGAAGTAGGCAAAGGAGCGCTCGAAGATCTTGCGGTTCACGGGGGTGCCCATGATGGGCTTGACGTCGATGTACTCCTCKTAGGCCTTGGCGGGCTCCGCGAGGACGTAGTCGGTCGCGCGCTTGACGGCGCGCATGAACTTCTGCACCTTCTCGGGGTTGGCGGCCAGGAAGGCGTCGTTGGCGATGTAGAGGATGGAGCAGAAGCAGCAGCAGCCTAGCTCGGCGAGCTGGTCGATGCGGAGCATCTGGACGTCGTCGCGGGGACGGTTCTGAGAGGCGAGCCACTCGGCCAGCTCGACCATCTGCACGTTCTCGAGACCGATGCCGGCGTCAATGTCACCGCGGATGATGGCCTTGGTGACGTTCATGCCGCAGCGGACGGCAGTATAGTCGTCGGCGGTCATGCCGTAGTACTTGGTGAGCTCGTCGATTTGGATCTATTTCACCGCAGTGAGTGCATGTCCTTCTCCCAGAGAACAAGGCAAGACAAACCTTGCCAAACTCTCCGACATAGCCGATTCTCTTGCCCTTCAGGGAGCGAAAGTCCTCGGTGATTCCGCTGTCCTTGAGATAGACAACACCAGTGAAAGGCTCGTCGAGCAGAGAGCCGATCGAGGTGACGGGGAAGTTACGAGCTTTAGCCTGATGACTGTGAGCATCAAACCATCAATAACGCCAAGCAGCCACATACAGCCAGAGTATGAATCATAGCCTTGAAGCCCATGTCAACCTTGCCGCTGCCGATGATCTCGGTCACATCGGAGGGGTCATTAGGCTCCAGGAGAGCAACCTTGAGGCCCTCTTCCTTGAAGAAGCCCTTGCTGTGGGCAAGGTACAGAGGGGCATGGTAGGGAGTCGCGTGCCTACACGAGACGGACCACTTAGCAAGCTGGTCTCACAACACAGATCGGTAGCAGAACAACTGCAAAGCCGTACCAGTTGGTCAAAAAGGTGATCTTGTCAGTAGACATCTTGACACCGATTCACTTGACGGCAATTGCAATTGTTCTGTAATCAGTCAGCAACAGAGAGGTAACTGGCCCCCTCATCTTTCATAAAGGGGGTAGGGGACAATCAGTGCCACGCATGTCCTTTCGCTAGTATTATCTAGATCAAGTTATGACAGTATAATCTCAGAACGACCGGGTTTCTGTCTGATGACTGGGGCCGTCAATCGGTATGCGAGGCATTGAAGTCTCTCCGGGTCAAAATGATCACGGTTGAACATGCCGAACAACGAGAGCACCAGTATCAGACAGAAACCCAGATCGAACACCTGTCATGCGCGAGCAGTGACTGTTATTATACAATGTACGATACCTTGACCCATATCAACCCCTAGCGAAGAAGACCCCGAGAGGGTCATCCTGACTGCGCGGCCCCATGGTGAGTCCTACCAGAGGGATGGCAGAAGTTCTATCGATGAATCGACAGTTAAAGCGAAGATAGAGTAGAGAAACAATAAGCAGATGAGAAGAGCAGGAGGACGAGGAGGAGGAGGGGTAGAAATAGCAGAGCGGAGGGGAGCAGGCCGATTACCCCACCATGACCACCTCAGGTATCAGTCTCACCGGGATTGCCTCAACCTCAATCTACCTCACAGGGTCCCAAGGTTGCTGTCCGCTGTGGGCTACGAAAACAATCAATTGCTTTGATTGGCTTTAGACGTGTGCAGTATTACCGTTTTCATCACATCATTATGATCGTGGGCCCCCAAGATCCGATAATTGCCGGACAATTCGAATAATGACTCAATGTTTCCAATAGGGAATGCTCGGATGCAAAGCAAACATGGACAGCCCAGTCCATTAATCATGCTCATATCACGCTCAAATAGTCGACGTACCAGCTACTGCTACTAGATATTTGATTACAGTACACTTCGAGACATACAAATGCAATTTCTCAAGGTAAGGCCTCATCTCTGTTAACATGGAATCTACCAACATGGAGATTCAAGGGAGCAATGAAACAGCACGCTATGTAGAGAGCAAGACATAAAGGGCACGGATGAACAGATGCAGACATGGCATAGAATTCAGCAGCAGCACAACTCTCAATCATTAGGTGATCATGATCGGATTGACGCAACAAACAGTCGGGTCAAATAAGTCCACGTTACTAATCTCCAAAAAATTATAGCATGTAATTGAATGATGACCCAGAGAACAAGGAAAAGAGGACATGCAGGTTTGATGCAGAATAGAGAAACAAAGAAATGAAATGAAAAAAAAATGTAGATCGACAATCAGTGGGGTTACAGCTGCCTGTGACTTGATTCTTTAATTTTAGATCATGCTCACTTGGAGCTGTGGATCCACATAAGGTAATCAACCGTCGATCATGGCCATCGAAATCAGCGGCCACCGTTTACGGGGATGCTATCCAGCGGCGACGAAGGTCGGTCCGAAGACTTCTTCGTCCGTAGAGTGAGCGGGAAGTAGTGGTCATCGGGCTCTTCCTCTTCGCTAGTACTGTGTCTTGTCAGTGATGCCCTCATTGCCCGGGTTTAGGTGGACACTTACGGTAAACGCCATGCGATATAGTCCTCAGTGTCCAGGCCCTCCTTGACTTCCTGGATGGTAGCAAAATCACCCGGAGTCATCACTCCTGATCGGTCCCGCGGAGACCCTGGAACTGACAATGGGCGCGAAAGCTTCTGCTCTGTTCCTCCAATAACATCGAAATAGTCTTCGGCACCATCGAAGGATGAAGGGTAGGCTATATATGGCGTCAACATCAACTAATCAGCTGGGGACAATGAGTTCTCCTGACCTCTTCTTAGAGCCAGCTGTCTGGCTTTGACATATTCCAAACCCATACGCTTCCAATCCAGTAGGTCACTCAAACGTTCCGTGCGGTTCCTTTGGTTAATGCGCTGTCGCCGGCTCTTCTGGGTGAAGTTGTACATGAACTCAGTCAGCTGATTGACAGAGTCATCAACGCCCTTCATGCGACGGTCCACAATGTAGATTCCATAATCGGAGGAGTTTTCAATCAATTCCTCCATGTAGCAGCCGAAACCGGACAAGTTGGTGGTGATGCTTGGAACGCCCATCACGGTACATTCTGCAGGCGTGTAGCCCCAGGGTTCGTAGTACGATGGGAAGACTCCCAGATGTGTACCGCGGACAAAGTCGTCGTAATCCAGAGGCAGAACAGGGTTGGAGGAGTTCAGGAACTCCGGATGGAAGATGATCTTGACGCGATCCGTGGGGTAGTTGAAAAGCTGGACCCGACGAATTTGGTTAAGAATCGGGTCTTCATGGTCGTTGTACATATTGTGGGTCACAATGGGAGGCAGTCCGTGCCGCTTCATGGCGAAGAGTCTCCGGCGCAGCAGCACACGGTCTTGGCTTGTAATCAGGTCCTTCTCGTCAGGCATGTTGTCGCCTTCTTTCCAGGCCAGACAACGCTCGTACATCCGTTTTCCGATGCTCTTTTCGATCATCTCGATTGTGTCTCGCAAGGACTTGACAACAGCTTGACCCTTGAGCGCCTCCACGGTCAACGACGATGTCTGCGCGGGCATGATAATAAATGCCACAACCGTTGTTTTGGACCCGCTAGCTTTGAGACGATGATTGAGCCGAGCCAGGCCCTCGATGAACATATCTACTCCCTTATTCCGGAATTCATACCGACCTGCCGTGAAAACGTAGAGTGTGTTGTCCAGGTCAAAGTCATTGTGGCCATAGAAGTGACCGCGGACGAAGTCGTTGATCTTCTCTTTGGACTGAGAGTGCAAGTTTTGGAACTCATGCACTGCAGCGAACTTCTTGACATTCAATCCATTGGGGAGCACCCCGTCCGGTTTGCGCTTGAGCAGATGCTCGCTCTCAAATGCAGTGATGTGTGAGACTGTAGTGAAGACGTCTGCGCTGTGCGCGGCGGCTCTTTCGATGCAGTACCTATGATAGATGCCTCTCTTGCCCGCCTCGGCGTCCACATCGAAGTGCTGTAGATTGTTGTAGAAGTCGACAGACCCTGCGCAAAGATACCGACCGAGCAAGGTTGCGTGAGTCGTAAAGATAGTGGTCAAGTCCATGTGCCTCTTCTTGGTCAGAGGAAGGGCAACGCCGGCAAGCCATTCATGGAAATGAGCAACTACAGCACGTCGGCGTTCGTGAGCGATAAACTGAAGCCATCGGTTAGCATCGTCGCCTACGAGATCAATCCGCCGTCAAGGTCCACGGAAGCGCACGTACTTCTCCCAAAAACCATGCCACCAGGTAACCGAAGACAATCGCCTCATTGGTCTCCGAATCCGACGCCGGAGACGGAATACCGGAAGTATTCCACAGGTCGCCCTTCCACTCATCCAGGTACTTGTATCCAGTTCCTGTATCGATGAGGAGAACACGGGGAGCACCCTCGATCAGCCAGCGACCGTACACCATGTCAATGCC